GGTGTGGAAGGCTGAATCACACTCCGTGGGTGGGTAGACTGTGGTGTGGAAGGCTGAATCATGCTCCATGGGATGAGTAGACTCTGCAGGTGTGGAAGGCTGAATCATGCTCCGTGGGATGAGTAGACTCTGCGGGTGTGGAAGGCTGAATCACGCTCCATGGGATGGGTAGACTGCGGTGTGGATCCACCTCTTGGTGGACACTTGGGTTTGCTTCCACATTTCAGCTATTGTGAACGGTGCTGCCGTGAAGATGGGCGTACAGATACCTCTTCAAGTTCCTGCTTTCAGTTCTCTTGGGCATATACCCAGAGTGGAATTGCTGGGTCACGCAGTAACTCTGTGTTTAACTTTTAGGAAAGTCCACACCATTTTCATAGTAGCCGCACCATTTCACATCCCACCAGCAAGAGTGAGGGTTTTCTTTCTCCACATCCTTGCCAACGCTTGTACATTTTTTTTTTTAATAGTGGCCACTCTAATAGGTGTGCTATATGCTTTATAATGTAATAGAAAAATATTACTGAATATGCATGTACATACGGCTAAAGACATTCAGAGTTGGCCGGGCGTGATGGCTCACACCTGTAATCCCAGCACTTTGGGAGGCCGAGGCGGGCAGATCACCTGATGGCAGGAGTTTGAGATCAGCCTGGCCAACATGGTGAAACCCCGTCTCTACTAAAAAAGGAAAAATTAGCCGGGCCTGGTGGCGGGCACCTGTAATCCCAGCTAGTTGGGAGGCTGAGGCAAGAGAATCACTTGAACCCAGGAGGCGGAGGTTGCAGTGAGCCAAGACTGCGCCACTGCACTCCAGCCTGGGCAACAAGAGCGAGACTCCATCTCAAAAAAAAAAAAAAAAAAAAAAAAAGACATTTAGAGTTTTAATCTGTTAATCAGCTGGCTCTGTTGATGGTTCAAAATTGACTAGTGAAGGAGGCAGCCTTTGAAAAAACAACTTTAACTCAGAGTAACAAATAGCATTGGTGACATATGTGGAATCCCATGGGAAGAGTGTGGAGGGATGGATGGGCTCCTGGGAGCGGGATGCAGGCTGTGGGGTGGCCCAGTGTGCTGCACCTGTGGCCGGCAGGGCTGGCACCTCTGGCCTGGCCCCAGCAAGTGCAAGCACCCACACAGAACACAGGGCTGCTCTACCCTACTCTTCTCATGTCATGTTCTTAATGTTGAGAACACAGGTTGAGTTCAGTGTGATTCTCCAAACAAACTGGCTGTGAGCAGTGTCAGTTTCTTTTCTCCAACTTCTTTGTTTATTTATTCTTTTGAGACAGAGTCTCCCTGTGTCACCCAGGCTGTAGTGTAGTGGTGTGATCTTGGCTTACTGCAACCTCCACCTCCTGGGTTCAAGCAATTCTCATGTCTCAGCCTCCCAAGTAGCTGGGATTATAGGTATGTACCACCATGCCTAGCTAATTTTTGTATTTTTAGCAGAGAGGGGGTTTTGCCATGTTGGCCAGGCTAGTCTCGAACTCCTGACCTCAAGTGATCCTCCTGTCTCAGCCTCCAAAGTGCTGGGATTACAGGCGTGAGCCACCACACCTGGCTCTTTTCTCCAATTTCATATTGTGAAAAATTTCAATTACTGAAAATGTTGAAAGAGCAGTACAGTGAATGGTAAACTCACCAGTTGTTAATACTTTGTCGCATGTATGTGTTCTACCTATCTGTCTATCTCCACACATTTTAAAGTTGTCAGTCATGATTGTTTACCCCTGGATCCTTTGTTGTGTATCTCCCAACAAGAAAACGTCCCATGTGACCACAGCCCTCCTATCACGCTTGCCGGCATCCACACCTCTCAAGGCATGTTCCTGCCTGGGTTTGCTTTTCTTTCTCTCACAACACTGATGTTTTGAAGCGCCCAGATCAGTTGCTGTGCAGAGGCTACCACAGCCTGGGTGTTCCGTTTCTCACTGCTCGACTTAGACTGAACATTTCTGGCAAGAATACAATGGAGGCGGAGCTCTGCATGCATTTACTTCTCAACCAAGCTGTGCAGGCCAGTTAGGGAGATGCAGATGCAGGTGGGCTGGGTGCTGTGCGTGCCATGGGAGGTTGCCCTCCGGGGACACTCTGGACAGAGGCACTCTCTGTCACGTGCTCAGCTTGGCCCCAGACTGAGGCTTAGCAGTCCTCCAGTTGTTCATCGTATGAAGAGCAGGAGGAGATAAACAACTGGATGACTGCCAAGGAGAGGCCAGCAGTAGGGAGTGGAAACCAAAAACTGAGCTTTTACACAAGGCCACATGTGCAGCCCCGCACAGGGCTGAAACCCCTGTGCCAGCACCCGTGGAGAGCAGCCCTGGGGCTGGGCCTGCCCTTGTTCACTAAGAGAATGAACCTGGCTGGCTGCCTGACTCAGCCTCGTATCTCCATGATGTGTTAACATATTGGCTCAAAAAAACAAATTTCCTTTAACACCTTAAATGAGGTAAAGAAACAAAAGTGGGCCAGGTGCAGTGGCCCATGCCTGTAATCCCAGCACTTTGGGAGGCTGGGGCGGGTGGATTGTTTGAAGTCAAGAGTTCAAGACCAGCCTGACCAACATGGTGAAACCCCATTTCTACTAAAAATACAAAAATGGCAGATGCCTGTAATCCAGGTTACTCGGGAAGCTGAAGCAGGAGAATGGCTTGAACCTGGGAGGCGGAGGTTGCAGTGAGCCGAGATCGCGCCACACTCCAGCCTGGGTGACAGAGCGAGACTCTTGTCTCAAAAAAAAAGAAGAAACAAAAGTGTTTTTGTTGTTGTTTTTTGTTTTGTTTTTTAAACAGGGTCTTGCTCTGTCACCCAGGCTGGAGTGCAGTAGTGCGATCTTGGCTCACTGCAACCTCCATCTCCTGGGCTCAAGTAGTCCTCCCACCTCAGCCTCCCTAGTAGCTGTGACTATAGGCGCCACCATGCTCAGCTAATTTTAAAAATTTTTAGTTGAGATGGGGTCTCACTAGAACTCCTGGGCTCAAGCGATTCTCCCACCTCAGCCTTCCAACTAGCTGAGGTTACAGCTGTGAGCCACTATGCCCAGTTAAATTTTCAGCTTTTTATTAAAAAAAAGTTAATGTTGTCCAGCTTGGTTGTTTGTTTAAGCATCTTTTCCCGCCTTTTTTGGTATTTCTGAAACTCAGCTTGCTGCAGCATTCTGACAGTCTTTGAAGTAATAATGCACACTGGTTTTAATTGTGAACCTGTCTCAATCTCCATTCTTTTTCTTTTTTTGAGATAGGGTCTTGCTCTGTCTCCTAGACTGGAGTACAGTGGCATGATCTCAGCTTACTGCAACTTTGCTCTTTTGGGCTCAAAATGATTCTTCCACCTCAGCCTCCTGAGTAGCTAATACTATCAGCATGCACCACCACACCCAGCTAATTTTTGTATTTTTTTGTAGAGATGGGATTTCACCATGTTGCCCAGGCTGATCTCGAATTCCTGAGCTCAAGTGATCTGCCCATCTCGGCCTCCCAAAGTGCTGGGATTACAGGTGTGAGCCACCATGCCCAGCCAAATCTCTATTCTATTTTGGTCTCTGAAACTTAACATTCTGCTTAAGGAAAGGCTCATATATAAGGATATTGAAACAAATGTTTTATATGATAATAATGCCTGAGGATCAATACATACATATTTCATATCCCAATATCCCAAAAATAGCAATCAATGTATTTACAGATGCTGCAGATCACTCTGTGGAGTTGATTCTGAGGCTGTCCCTAAGGACCCATGCCAGGAGACATGTCCCGGGAGCGACTGTCACAGATGCAGGACCCAGTCCCCCAGATGATGAGGCAAGGCCTGAGTGTCTGTGCTTGTGGGGGGAAAGGTTTATTATACCTTCTCCCAAGCAAACAGGTGGAAAGCAATACCTAGAGCAGCTCTGGTGCTTGTGTGTGGGCCTCTGCAGTGGCCTCTGCAGATGCCTCTGTGGCTTTGTGCTCATTTCAGTTAGAGTTGAGAATACAATGCATTTTCATGTATGGTGGACTTTATAAAACCTAAGTCTGCTTTCTACTCAGTAAACATTTAGACATTTTTCTTTTCACATTATTCTCCAGTTACCAAGATTTTGTTGTCAGAGCCACATAAGCCTTCTGTTTTTTGGTGAAGACATATTATAGACTTAAGAGTTTTATTTCTTTCCACAAATATTTTGACATTGTCATTTTTGCCTTAGTTTATACAACTATTTTTCTAAGCTCTAGATTTAGTTTTCACATAGATACCTCTAGTGATTTAATTCTGGCTTCCACTTTTGGTTAGCAGTGGTGACTTAGGTTTCTTATCTACATACTACTTCTGAAGCCTGGTTCTGTTGTGCTGCCTTTAGCAAGTGGTACACAGAAAAGCACTAAATGATGAGAAGAGTATTTTTGTTCCTTTCTGTCAAATTCAAAGGCTAATATGGAGGGTTTTTTGAGTTTATTTATGATCACTGGCCAATAGCTCTAAGCTGTGATATCATGTTCTTTGTCATGGAAATTGAAGAGACAGTGGAGAAATACTTATTTTAAAATCAGTGTGATAAAAGTTAACGCACATTTATACTTCCCATAATTTTTGTCTTCTAATAGCAAATGCATATGGGGACTCCAGTACCTGGAGATGTGAATTCCATAAAAATGGAAGCATCTAAGAGGCAGTGAACACTGGCGCCCACAGGTATGTAGCAGTCACCCAGCATGAAGTCAGCCTGTAAACAAAAAGGAAACCATTCTAGCCTTCTAGCAGTGTATTTGCCAACTTTTTTCATTTTAAGTAAGTCAACAAATATGTACCAAATGGCTTCTGTGGGCTCACGGGCTCACCCCTGTGCCTCCTCTCAGTTCTTGCTTGGAGCAAAGTGACTTTACACTCAGCCATCATTTTAGCCAGTTAGAGCCTTGGGCTGGAGGCATGGGAGGCGGGCCTGGGGAGGCCATGGGCACTCATGGAGTGGCAGGGCCTGGGCCTCAGCTCTGTGCCCAGGAGCTTCCCCATGCCAGCCAGGCACATCAGAATCTGGCACATGAGTGTCCCCGTACTCACTGTCCAGCCACCCCGCTTGATAGCAGGATCCCTGGGAGCAGCCACTTGGCAGTGGGCATGGACTCAGAGCAAAGCAAGATGGGTGCCTCAAGAGCTTGGTCCCACTCAGGCCTGAGACTGACTCCCTTCCTGGTGAGGATCAGAGAGAGGATGTTCTGCCCGCAATGCGTTCTGTGCTATTTCCACATTCTGTGCTTTTTCCCTGTTCTGCACCAGGGATAATGTAGCATGAACTTCGAAGGTGGAACATGGCTCACTGTACTGTGATTGGATTTGATGTCACAGATTCTCCTTTGATGTCAGAGGCCTCACCTAGAAGTGGGCCATCCTGGGATGGGTTTACAGCACCTGGAGGTGACATCAGGTGTTCCTCTCCAGCAGTCAATGCCGACAGCACAAAGTATCTGTGTGCCAAAGTACCTGGCAGGTACTAGTCCAGGAGTGGGCTGTGGGAGCCGGGAGCCAATGAGGCTCTGAAGCTACCACACACACTGTCATCTGTTGATTGTTCCTGGGCAGAGTGGGCCCTTGCACCTGTTTATTGACCCAGAACTGGGCACAGGCTGGCGGTGTCTGTGCAGACTCATAGTTTCTCCTACAGGTGATTAAAAACCAAACTATCAAGAGTTTTCATATATTTTCCTTTTTCCAAGGAGAAGCATTCTTTTTTTCTCTATGATGATCTCAGGCTGTCTTCACACACACTGTTGTTTGCTCTGTGGGGGCCCGTGCTGTGATACTCCGAGTGTGGGCTGCAGCGTGGTCAGCCCTGCCCTCGCTGGCTCTGGGGATGTGGCCATGTGGCGTCACCTCACCTATCTCATTTGTCTCATCTGTAAAATTGGAGCAACAGTGATAATCACACTTCTCAAGTCTGTTCTGAGGACTGACACTGTTATATCTGTAAGGTGCTTAGCACAGCACCATGTTGTAAGCACATAATGTCAGTTAATACCATACTAAAAAATTAACATTCTATAAATTTAATGGCAAGCTTTAATTTTTTTTAACATATCCAACTTTTTTGCTATAAACTTAAGGGGTACAGGAGCAGTTCTGTTGCATGGACATACTGCGTGGTGGCGAAGTCTGGGCTTTCAGTGCATCCGTTATTGGAATAACGTAATCATACCCACTAAGTAATTTCCCAGCATCTACCCTCCCCTCACCCTATACCCTTCCAAGTCTCCATTATCTCATTCTACACTCTACATCTGTGTAGACGTGTGAGTTAGCTCCCGCTTACAGGCGAAAATGTGCGGTGTTTGTCTTTCTGTGTCCCAGTTGTTTCACTTAGGATGATGGCCTCTGTTTCCATCCATGTTGCTGCGAAGGACAAAGTTTCATTCTTTTTTATGGCTGGATAGTACTCCATTGTGTATATATGCACCACATCTTCTTATCCAGTTGTCTGTTGATGGGCACTTAGGTTGATTCCGTGTCTTTGCTGTTGTGAATTGTGTTGCAGTAAACATGCGAGCGCAGGTATCACTTCAATAGAATGATTTATTTCCCTTTGGATATACACCTAGGAGTGGGACTACTGGATTGGACAGTAGTTGTATTTTCAGTTTTTGGAAGAACTTCCATTTTATTTTCCATAGCGGCTATGCTAATTTACACTCCCACCAACAGTGTACAATGTTCCCTGTTCTCCACGTCCTCACCAGCATCTATTGTTTTTTGTCTTTCTTTAATTTTTGCAAGTTTGCATTGCTAATAGAATACACCATAGTTTTTAAGGAAAACGCATCAGAAAATACCGGTATCAGAATATGTATACGTACGTGCGTATCAGTCTGTGCCTAGAGACCCGGGAAACCGGTCCATGACGATGAGTCACATCCATGCGCTCCTTCAGCAGATATTTATAGAAACTCGCGAGTGGCGAGGCCCGAGCACGCAGAGATGCGTGACCGCCACCCCCTGCCTTTGCCCGGACCAGCTCCCGACTGCTCCCTTCTCTTTATTCAGGTCTTGGCTCCACGGCCCGCCTCGGAGAGCCCTTTGCCGACCCGGTGCCCGCCCTGCGCCGCCCTGTTTGCTCTCCCTGGTCCTCAGAGCGCCCACTCCCGTCAGGTCGCCTGTGTCTGTGCCTCCCTGAGGAAGGCAGGGCCTGGCGTGCCCCGCGCTCCGCTCTGCCCTCGGGACAGAAGGTGGTCAGGGAAGGTGGTCCCGTGTCCTCAGGCAGAGTCACCTTGCAGATGGTGCTGAGGTGGAGAAGCCGCGCCGCTGCTACAACAGAGTGGGCGCTTCTGACCGCGCCCTCTTGAGGAGGGTTGGTGGCAGAGGCCGCACCATGTGCACGCCGCGAGGCAGGTGGTCGTCAAGGCCTTCAGGCTGCAGCTGCTGGGCAGGGTGTGAGCCAGGAGCATTGCAGCTGCGGGGAGGGCAGGTGGGCCGGGCCTCGGCAGGCCCAGGGAGTCACCATCCAGGAGTACGGAGCCCCAGAGCAGAGGGCATGGCCATCGCCTTCTCCCAGCGTGGGGGCGGTGAGGCGAGGTGGGGCCTGTGAGGCAAGGTGTGCGATCACCAGAGGAGGAAAAGCGCGCCCAGAGGCGGGAACCCTCCAATCACAGGTCAGCATAGAGGCGGGTGCCCTCCAATCACAGGTCAGCATAGAGGCGGGTGCCCTCCAATCACAGGTCAGCATAGAGGCGGGCGCCCTCCAATCAAAGGCCCGCACAGAGGTGGGCGCCCTCCAGTCACAGGCCAGCGTAGGGGCGGGCACCCTCCAGTCACAGGCCGGGGCCCTCCAATCACAGGGCAGCAGAGAGGCAGGCATCCTCCAATCACAGGCCGTGGCATTGGCTCTCCTCACCTGCCGCTGAGGAAGGAGGTCCATTCAGGACCATGGGCCTGGAAAGAAATGATGGGGCC